TTCATCTGGTGATATGGGTGCCTTTTTTGGTTTAACTCTTGAAGATTTTGAAGAATTTTACATTGGTTTTTATGAAATCAGTTGAGGACCCATTTTAATTTTATTCATAAAAGAAGACTACTGGGAAGATATTTAAATTTTAGTTGGCCCTTTGTTTCTGCTCTTGGGTTTTAAGTAAAGATTGCATTCCCTTATGCTGATAGGTTTGAGCTTAGTGTTTCCTGGGAAGATATAAATTTGCTATGCTTGTAATTAGCTTTTAGAAGCTGGAAAGAGCTTCTTCACCGTAGATGCCGACACTTCAACCGGTGTTCGTGTCTAATTAGTGTGATTTCTATAATTACTCTGAACAATTTAGACGGACTTTTGACATAAATCTTGAGATTAGAGTGTTACTTTGGTGCTTCTATTGACATAAATCTTTGTAATTGCATGAACATTGCAAGCTTGGAATGGTCTGGGAGTCAGGCTTAGAGCAAACCAAGATATTGGAACACAATAGGCGTTTCATGAATGAATTTGCAGAAAATCTCTGATTCTACGAGAATAGTTTTAGTGGGAAAAAATAATTCGATAATGTAAAGTTGTTTGAGTTCAAGTTTTCCTACTAACAATTGTCTATATGTTTCAGAGAAATGAAAACCATGTCATCTTGTCGAGGTTGCTGAAAATATCAGTTATTATGAACCTAGGAATGGTTTCTCTGGCTCAATCTCCTTCTATCAGTTCCATCATTAAAATTCCCCAGGTTCATTCCAGAAGCCCACTATTTTTAAGAGCTTCAAAAGTGCCTTATGTGTTCCCCTTCTGTTGTATCCGCCCCCGATGATCCCTCGTTTGCTGCACGAAGTTTCCAGTGGGAACCTTCACCTGTCACCGACACTCTAACTGAGAAAGCTGGTGAAAACTGCTTGGAAAAATCGTCTGAATTATTTGAAACTCTGCCTGAAAGCAAAGACGAGGTTTCGGTGACCAATGCAAAAGATCTCACTGATACGACCAATCAGCCAGTTGCACGGTTTCTGTTTCTCAAATGGCCGCTGTGGCTGCTGGACCCTTCTCTTCTCCTTGACACAGGCATGGTGCAGACTCTGTGATTGTCGATATCCACCATATTCATTGGCCCAAATGTGACCATCCTTGTTTCCTTGATCGGACTTGACTGCATCTTCAACCTGGGTTGCTCTCTTTTTCTTCTCATGGCAGATTATTGCGCCAAGTCAAAGAATGTGACACAAACTTCCAAAAGCAGACCTCCTTTGAGTTACCAATTCTGGAATTTGGTTGCGACTTTGACAGGCCTCGCGGTCCCCTTAATGATACTGTTTGGGTCCGATAAAGGCTACCTCCGACCTCAGCTACCTTTTATCCCATATGCGGTTCTATTGGGTCCCTACATTCTGCTTCTAGCAGTGAGTCACCTATCTGGTTGGTGACCTCAGCCGTGTACGAGGCTTACCGTGTGCTGCAGCTAACGAGGGGGTTGAAACTAGGGGTTGAACTCAATGCACCAAAATGGATGATGCACACAATCAGGGGATTGGTGTGTTGGTGGGTACTGATTCTTGGTGTGCAACTCATGAGGGTTTCTTGGTTTGCTGTTTTTAAGGCTCGAGCTCGTCGACAGCAGTCTTCCGCTCCAGCTGATGCTTGATTCTAATAGCCATTGGTACGTAAACCGAAATAATAGAGTTATATATCTTGATATAAGCAAAAATCTACTAAAACGTCTACATTTTGTTTTATAAGCAGTCAACATACATGTAAGAAAAGTTGTTTTACAGTTACATGAATAGCTTTATAGAAATGCTACTTGTTTTGAATGATAAAAGTAGGTATGCTATATGCTTGAATGTTTTGTGGCTCAAAGTGTTTAGCTTCCCGGATGACGGGTAAGAAGCAACTATTGTCCATCTCTTACCCTGCATGATAGTAGTGTTGGTTCCTGTGCATTCCAATTGCTTTGGGTATTTGTGTTTTTGATAGGTTAAGATGAGATTTGCCTTGAGCCTTTTTTTTCTATTATCAAAGGGGGTTGAAACTAGGGGTTGAACTCAATGCACCAGAATGGATGATGCACACTATCAGGGGATTGGTGTGTTGGTGGGTACTGATTCTTGGTGTGCAACTCATGAGGGTTTCTTGGTTTGCTGTTTTTAAGGCTCGAGCTCGTCGACAGCAGTCTTCCGCAACAACTGATGCTTGATTCTAATAGCCATTGGTACGTAAACCGAAATAATAGAGTTATATATCTTGATATAAGCAAAAATCTACTAAAACGTCTACATTTTGTTTTATAAGCAGTCAACATACATGTAAGAAAAGTTGTTTTACAGTTACATGAATAGCTTTATAGAAATGCTACTTGTTTTGAATGATAAAAGTAGGTATGCTATATGCTTGAATGTTTTGTGGCTCAAAGTGTTTAGCTTCCCGGATGACGGGTAAGAAGCAACTATTGTCCATCTCTTACCCTGCATGATAGTAGTGTTGGTTCCTGTGCATTCCAATTGCTTTGGGTATTTGTGTTTTTGATAGGTTAAGATGAGATTTGCCTTGAGCCTTTTTTTTCTATTATCAAAGGGGGTTGAAACTAGGGGTTGAACTCAATGCACCAGAATGGATGATGCACACTATCAGGGGATTGGTGTGTTGGTGGGTACTGATTCTTGGTGTGCAACTCATGAGGGTTTCTTGGTTTGCTGTTTTTAAGGCTCGAGCTCGTCGACAGCAGTCTTCCGCAACAACTGATGCTTGATTCTAATAGCCATTGGTACGTAAACCGAAATAATAGAGTTATATATCTTGATATAAGCAAAAATCTACTAAAACGTCTACATTTTGTTTTATAAGCAGTCAACATACATGTAAGAAAAGTTGTTTTACAGTTACATGAATAGCTTTATAGAAATGCTACTTGTTTTGAATGATAAAAGTAGGTATGCTATATGCTTGAATGTTTTGTGGCTCAAAGTGTTTAGCTTCCCGGATGACGGGTAAGAAGCAACTATTGTCCATCTCTTACCCTGCATGATAGTAGTGTTGGTTCCTGTGCATTCCAATTGCTTTGGGTATTTGTGTTTTTGATAGGTTAAGATGAGATTTGCCTTAAGCCTTTTTTTTCTATTATCAAATTATACATAGTTTACATTTGTACTTGAAAGCATTTAACTTGTAGAATAAAAGAAAGGAGCCTTTTTTTCCTAATCCATCCGGAAAAGGTTAATATTATAACAAAATAAGCTTGAATCCGGTTTATGAATTTTCAGATGTTCGTAACATGTTGCATCTGCTGACAATCTGCGGGAAATCATCAAGATTTAGCTACAGTGCCACGAGGGAGAAAGGTAAGTAAATTCATTCAACTCGGATGCATTTTGAAGTGAAAAATGTATTGATTCTGGCTAGGCAAGCACACGAATGAAATTAAGTTTTTCTTTTATTCACATAATACCGTATAAAGAGCGGGTGATCTACAAATAAAATATGATGGTTGACACATCCTCTCTTTGGTTAGCAAGTCTGTTGACTATGGAAATCACATCTCCTTCGATTATAGCATTTGACCACCTGTTTTCGATGGCGAATCTGATCCCTTGAGGGAAAGCTTCAAGTTCAGTTGATTCCACAGTGAAAGAGGTCAATCTGGCGGCACATACCCCCAATGACTAATCCATTGTGATCTGTAGCAACCACACCTATTGCAGCAGAATTTTCCAACGGTTTACATGCCCCATCCACATTAATTTTGACAACATTTTCTTTAGGCCTACTCCATTTGTGACATTTGTGGGGCATCCGGTGGGAGGGGTAGAGCCTTTCTTCGTAGTTAGCCTTCGTGAACTCGGCACATAGGCTCCAAGCTACCATGATGACATCTTTGTCCTCTTGCATTTCCTCATCGTGTACCGTTTGTTTCTTCGGTTCCATAAGTTCCACAAAAGCACTATAATTCTGGAAAATCCCTCTTGGTCCAGTCTCAAAACAGCCCATTCTAGCCACTCTTTGCAAGAGTTTCCTTGCCAGTCAATGATAGCCGAGTCAAGTCCAGAGGTTTGCTGGACTATTTTTGATTTTGGTCAATCCTCAAGAGCATCAGAGTTTCAGTCTCAATACCACACATTGGGCATAACCCCTCAGAAATCCCTGCATTCTTCATTCTTTTCCCCGGTCGGGAGCGCCTCATGGCACACTCTCCACCCAAAAATTTGGATTTTTGGTAAGGTTGGTAGCTTGCTGAGAATTTTCCAAATTCTTCCTTGTTCAACGGGGTACCCTTCTTCAAAAGGAGCCAGATATACCTAGACTTTGCTGAATAACAACAGGTGTTATGGTGACTCCAAATCATCTTGTCCTCGTGGGATGGAGCGATAAGAGTTGAGAGGACTTTGTTGGTGTCTTCATGAGTGAGGACCTGTTGAATTTTCTTCACATCCCATTTCAAAGAATTAGGGATCATGAAATCAGCACATTTGAAGGGTGCATCCACGTTATATCGATAAGTGCATGACCAACTAACTAGCAAGGTATCTCCCCAATTATCAAGGAACATTTTTGCTTTAAAAAGCTCTTTTAGAGCCTCTTTCGCCTTGTATATACTTGTCTAAGCATAAAAAGCTCTTTCCCTGATTGTGGCATCCAAGAGATCAGCATTCGGAAAATACTTTGCTTTAAAGTCCTTGAAGGCCAGTGAATCTTGGTCCTGGATGGGTGTGAAATTTGGTCTAGTTGGTGTTAGGTTAGAGGCAGTGGGCTGATCTGATGGCTGATTATGTATTGTAATATGATGGATAAGGCAAGCAGGTTTTGTTGTTTGGGCTTGGGACTTTATTTGTAATTGAAAAGGCCAACAATGTTGTGCCTCTGAAGCCGACAAAGTCATTGAGATTAATGCTTAGCACAAAAACTTTAGATTAAAATAGTATTTGGCAAAATAAAAAGTACTCTATGTGTTTAAGGCTCTTTACAAGCATCAATCATTTAGCACATCGTCGACAATTGAGATCGTTATGTGCTGAAAATGGGAGAAGCTTATAAAGTATGGTCGTCAGTGCTGGCTTTGCAGGGCTAGTCACGGCCAGGGAGCTTCAAAGAGAAGGCCATCGAGTCACCGTCTTTGAGAAGGCCAACAATGTTGGTGGCACATGGCTCTATGACTCAAGGGTGGAGACTGCTCTATTAGGCCTTGACCTGAATCGGGAAATAGTTTATAGTAGCATTTACAGATCCCTTACAGTTGACCTTCCTAGGCAGATCATGGGATTCTCGGACTATCCATTTGTGGCGAAAGAAGGTGGGGATCCGAGACATTTTCCGAGTCATGAAGAAGTGCTCAGGTTTCTCCAGGATTTTGCTCGGGACTTTGGGTTGATTCGATTTGAGCATGAAGTTGTTCGGGTGGAGCGAGTTGATGAGGAGTCACTAATGGATTGTTGAGTCTAGGACTCGAGATAGAGAGTCAAGATGGGAATTTAAAGAGGAAGTGTTTGAGGCTGTGATTATTTGCAATGGTAAACACACAGCCAAGCATTGCAGAATTTTCAGGTATTTTATTTATGTCAATTTGGAGACTGCATTGACTCCATTTCTTTATGCCTCGTTATAATCTCTCTGTTTCTAGTTAATACGTAAAACCATTTTGGTCATGTATTAGGTGCAAATGCATAGCCATAATTATCGGACTCCTGAACAATTTAAAAACAAGGTATTAAAACCATTAACAATCAGAACTTGTTGTTGATTACAATTACCCTGCAATCTTCTACACTAATCTGCAAACATAGTGATTGTTTGTGATCTTTAATGTCATAAATCCTTACATCTCGATCCAAGGAACATATAAATTGTTGTAGTAATTGGGGGTTCTGACAGCTTGTGGTGCTCATTGGGAATGGACCAAGTGCCATTGACATTCTGAAAGAGCTCGCCCCTGTCGCAAAAGAAGTTCATCAAGCTATTAGAGGACCTGGTTTTCAGTTGAAAAAACTGGAAAATCATGACAACGTTTGGCAACACTCGATGGTTTGTTATTCATTTTGCCAATTAGTTAAGTTGCTTTAAAGACGGAACTTTAAAGCTGGTCATTTTTATTTTATTCTATGTGTTCATAGAGATGGTAAGGTGGTATTCCAAGATGAATCAATTGTCGATGCAGATGCCATTATAAACTACTGCAGTACAAAAACCATTTCCCGTTTCTTAGGTCAAATGGGATAGTAAATGTGGACGACATCAATCGTTATAAACATGTATTTCCACCAGTTTATCCCCTTGGCTTTCTTTTGTGGGACCAAACTACAGGGTAAACTTTTGTCTTCCGTTTTATGAGAATATTTAGAAAGCTCTGAGGTTTTTGCTTAATGGAAGTATTGAATAGATGGTTACGAAACCAGGACTGCCGGGTCCGGTGTTGGAATTACAAGCGAAACGGGTGGCAAAAGTTTTATCACGCAAGCTACAGCTACCAACCCAAGACGAAATGATGCATTCTATTGAACTTCAGCGTGAGATGGAGAAGAACGGATGGCCGATACCTATTCTTAATCCTCATCATAACGGGGTTGGTACTTAAATAATTAAATTTATATTTCTCTAGGTCTATCTATCTATTTATCTATTTGATTATCGTGATGGTACTATCTATTTATCTATTAAAATGATATTTATCTATTTATCCAAAAAAAAACCTGCAAGGGTTTGAGGTTAAATTATGAAATTGTCTTGTGACAATAAAATAACTTTGTAGATAATAGTAAATTCATTGTTTTATGAGCACATTTAATATACCGATATAAATATCATTTTATCCAAAAAAAAATCTCATACAAACCGAGTATATTTTAGAAACAAAATAATTAGTAGACATTATAACAAAAGCATTCAGAATTCAATATCATGAATATTTAGTCGGTTACTTGTGATCATAAGTTCTAAATCCACTAAGAGCATCTCCTTCTTTCTCCTAAAGTCCCCTTCCCCTCTATATAGGATTGAGATTATAATTAGGATTTGTAAAAAAGAAATATTTTGATCGTCAAACTTGAAAGAGAATGTTGAAGATGAAATGTTAAAAGTTGATTAGTTTATAATTAATTTGTTTACTTTTATATACAATATATTTGCAAATTAAGGAGTGATGAATGAGAATGACGAAATTTTCCAATTGTTCGTGCATTTCTACTATAATAATTGGGTGTTAGTTTTATGTCAACTTGGATTAAAATTTGATTTCGGCCGCTGAGCCACTGAAGCCGACAAAATCATTGAGATTGATGCTTAGTCCACCAAGTTTGGAATTAAATAGTAGTTACAAACAGAGAATGGTTTTGGAATTAGGCTAAAGAAAACAACTGATGTATTTCAAAATTAATAGTGGTAGCATTTTCTTGGATAAACAAAGCTGTTGAAATCGTATCAAACCTCATTGACAACAATATAAATAGTATTCTATATCTTTGACGATAGTGTAATAAATTATCTTTGCATTGAGTGGGGTAGAAGGCAACTTAATTTAAGGCTTTTTACCAGCACCGATCATTTAACTGGTCGTGGACAATTGAGATCGTTATAGTGGTGAAAATGGGAGAATCTTATAAGGTAGCGGTCATCGGCGGTGGCATTGCTGGTCTACTCACGGCCAGGGAGCTTAAAAGAGAAGGTCACCATGTGACAGTATTTGAAAAGGCCAACAAAGTTGGTGGCACTTGGCTCTATGATCCACGAGTGGAGACCGACCAGTTGGGTCTTGATCGGAATCGGGAAATTGTTCATAGTAGCCTTTACAGGTCTCTTAGAGTTAACCTCCCTAGGCAGGTCATGGGATTCTTGGACTATCCATTTACGAAGAAAGAAGGTGGTGATCCGAGACATTTTCCGGGTCATGAAGAGGTGCTCAGGTTTCTCGAGGATTTTGCTAGGGACTTTGGGTTGCTGGAGCTGATTCGATTTGAACATGATGTGGTTCGGGTGGAGCGAGTTGATGAGACTAGTCACGAGTGGGTTGTTGAGTCTAGGACTCGAGATGGTGAGTCAAAATGGGAATTGAATGAAGAGGTGTTTGAGGCTGTGGTTATTTGCAATGGTAAATCCACGGAGCCAAAAATTGCAGAATTTTCAGGTATTTCATTCACTTCTAATACATATATTGCATATTATTCATACTATACAGTATGAACAGTTGCATAAGCAATGTTTTTAGGGAGAGATACTTGGCCAGGACTACAATTGCATAGCCATAATTATCGGATTCCTGAACACTTTGAAAATAAGGTATGAATCGAAAAACATACTAGAAAATTTTCAAACTTTACAAGTTGCTAAAACAGTTATGGGTTATGGACGACAGATAGTGGTGCTGATCGGGAACGGGCCAAGTGCCGCTGACATTCTGAAAGAGATCGCCACTCCTGCAAAACAAGTTCATCAGGCCATTAGAGGACCTAATATCCAGTTGAAAAGGCTGGAAAATCTTAATAACGCTTGGCAGCATCCCATGGTTTCTTAATCATTTTATCAATTAATTTCTTAACTTCTAAATAGGTTGCTTTTTCCTTGAAAGATTGTCACTTTTATGCAGATTAGATGTGCACATAAAGATGGCAAAATAGTATTTGAAGATGGATCAATTGTTGATGCAGACATCATTATTCATTGCACTGGGTATTTTTTATTGAACAAAAAAAAATCCATCTCTTAAATTCTTTCTTCTTTCATCCCTCTAAGGGGGAAAAATCTCTTGCAGGTATAAATACAGATTCCCATTTCTTAGGTCAAATGGGATAGTAACTGTGGAAGACAATCGTGTTGGACCATTGTATAAACATGTATTTCCACCAAGCTTATCGCCTTGGCTTTCTTTTGTTGGACTACCTTTTAAGGTAAACTTTAAGACAAGAAATTGCGATTCTAGACCTGATTGCATGAGTCAACTATCACTGTTTCCTTAAACTTTATTTGATCTTTCTGGGTTCAGGCACTCCCCTGTACGATGATAGAATTACAAGCGAAATGGATAGCAAAAGTTTTGCGCGGAAAATTAAAGCTACCGACACCAGAAGAGATGACAGATTGTGTCCAACAGCATTACATTCAGTTGGAGAAGAAGGGATGGCCCAAACATTATACGCATAATCTTGAGCATGACGAGGTTTTCCAGTTCCCACAACCGAATCTGCCCGTCTCTATTTTCCTCTCTACTTATTGGCTTTGTTGTTGTGTGGTGCGCAGTTTGAATACAAAGCTTGGCTTGCTCCTCAGTCGGACATAAGTCTCCCGAAATTGTTGAAGGAAATAACATTATGCAACCTCTTGAAAGCAAGATCAGACAACGGTTCCAATTATCGGGATACATGGGAAGTTGATAAATGGATAAAACAAATGGAATCTTCCACACACCATAGATCAAGCTTATGAATTCCATTAATGCTTGCGTACAAATTTAGATATATGCACTTGTTTGAGAATAAGACATGTTTCCCTTCACTATATAAGAAGAGATGGTCTTAAATTCAGTTGAATATTGCATCAGATTGTCGATCTGTTGGGTGTGGTCATGGCTCGGGTTTTTTATCATCTACCCGTAAATTATATATCTTCCATCTAATCTGGATCCGACTAAAAATTTATACACCTTACCCAAAATAAATATGATCCACCCTCTTGAGATAAAACTGAAACCCAACTCGACCCTAAATAAAATATTTATAAAAATAGTACTATTATTTAATAAAAAAATAGAAATTTAAGTGAAAAAAATGTATAGAGGGGTCTTATTGCAATTATCTCTTAATATATAACGTAAAATTATATTGTTTTTGAGTCAAGTCGAGTTTGATATTTTCACTTTAAAATCTGACATGAATATAATCTCTACAAACTCTGACCCGATTTTTTTTAAAATCTTGCCCTGATCCTATCCGATATTTATTATAATCCAATATTGGAACCATTAACTCTTATTAATTCTTCAATCAACATGGCACATTAAAAAATGATTTCTTCTCATTTTTGTTATAGGATTCATTTATTTTTGTCAAGCAATAGGATTTATTCTTAATTTTACCTCTGAACTTTAAATAATATCAATTTAACACTCATTTTTATTAATAATAAATCCTATTGACCTATTGACATATTTAAGATTTTTTTATAGAAAGCCACTAGTTTTATTAAAAATAAAAAATATCTAAAATTACAATGACGATCTACGAGTATAACCGTAAACGTAAATTAAATTATAATTAGGACATTTTTCCTATAATCATTTACACAAAAACTAGTCACATATATCACATAAGGATCATAAAAGAAAAATGTTAAAAAAATATAACCAATGCTCGAACAAAATAAAGATAGAAACAATTCTTACATAATCAACAAACGAACCACAAAAAGGGATAAAACTACTGAAAGACCACCGAAAAATCATAAATCAAAGTCAATAGATGTGAAAAATTATCTACAAACGCAAAACACGTAACTATATCACATAATGATGTAAATGCCACTCTGACTTCTGACAATATAAACGATGCTAACAAATACTATATTATGACAGAGTGAAGTTGAAAGTTGGCTTCATCAAATTTGCCAGGCTGTGCTTTTATATAAAAACGAAAAATGGTATGCCTTCGCTATAGTGCGAAAATGGGAGAATTTTATAAGGTAGCGGTCATCGGAGCTGACACTGCAGGCCTTCTTACAGCCAGGGAGCTTCAAAGAGCAGGTCACCATGTTACTGTTTTTTAAAAGGCCAACAAAGTTGGTGGTATTTGGCTCTACACTCCAAGGGTGGAGTCGACCCGTTGGGTCTTGACCCGAATCGAGAAATAGTTCATAGTAGCCTGTGCAAATCCCTTCGAGCTAACCTTCCTAGGCAGGCCATGAGCTTCTTGGACTATCCATTTGTGAAGAAAGAAGAAGGGGATCCGAGGACTTTTCTGGGTCATGAAGAGATGCACAGGTTTATTGAGGATTTTGCTCAGGACTTTGGGCTGATGGAGCTGACTCTATTTGGACATGAAGTCATTTGGGTGGAGCTAGTTGATGAGGCGAGTCACGAGTGGGTTGTTGAGTCCAGGACCGAAAAACTGAGTCGAAATGGGAATCAAAGGAGGAGGAGTTTAAGGCTATAGTTAGGGATTCAAATAGCGTAATGCAACCGTAATAGCAGCTGTTATTTCGCGTAACATCACCGTCTGAAATTGATTTTCGTGAAAATTACGATAGGTAACAGAATCACAATAATAGTGGTCTGTCACAGCCGTAATTTAGTGTTTAACGGTAAATAACATCGATAACGGAACGTTATTCAACCGTTACTTAAAAAAAAAAACTTAAAAAGATGAAATTTTCATCCAAAATCGCAATGAATATATTCTTTGCAGTCTACACTCTGCAAAAGCAAAAAATGGCCGCAAAAGCTAATTGAAAAGAAAGAAGAAAAACAAAAAATCTGTAAAACTAGTACAAAAGATAGAAATCTAAAATTCCAAACTCAATTTAAATGGTGTTGATGAATTGAACCGGCAGCACATCAACCAAATTTCAAACAATCATTATAAAAAAACCTCTGTAAACTGGAAAAAAAAACAGAGAGCAATTGAGCATATCAAGCAAGACTCACCATTCACCAAGGGATCAAACCGGGAAAGAGACAAATCGGGAAGGGAACAAGCCGAGAAGAAGTTGAGCAGGCCATGAACAAACAAGCTTTTGCTTCCATTTGACAAAGTAAAAAATCAAGAAAAGCAAAGGTTTTTTGATTAATTGTCTAGAAAAAAAATCCCTAGATCTAAGTTTAGAAGGATTAGAAAAAAACCTCTAGATCAAGACAAGCTGGGAAGAGGACGCTCAATGGAATTCTCTCTCAAAAAGGGAAAGTTAAGTGAGAGTTGGGAGAATTGGAGAGCTTCTCGAAATTTTGAAGTAAAAAAACAAAAATCATGTTTGGGTCGTCCCACTCTCACGTGATAAACGCGACAGAAAACGCGACTCCGAATGCTATTTAAATTCGACTGTAGTTATATGTAATGATAATGAATCGGAGCCAAACGTTGCAGAAATTCCTGGTAAAGAACCTGCTAAAGATTATATGGAACAAATATGCATTTTAGCTCCATTAATTGCCAGTTGCTAATAGATATGATCATTTTTGTTATATTTTAGGCAGAGATACTTGGCCAGGATTACAAATGCATAGCCATAACTATCGTACACCTGAAGAGTTTGAAAACAAGGTACTGAATCATTTACAATTGCATATTTACGTAGCCATGACAATATAATTGCTATAATGTTTGTGGCTTATGGTTGACAGATAGTGATTCCCATTGGGAACGGACCAAGTGCAGTTGACATTTTGAAAGAGATCTCCCCTCTTGCAAAACAAGTTCATTTGGCTGTTAGAACACCTACTTTTCAGATAACAAGGGTGGAAAATTATGATAACGCTTGGCAACATTCAATGGTTTGTTTTACATTTTATCAATGAAGTTGGTTTAGAGTTTACCTTTAAGCTATCCCCCACAATAGACTGACTATTTTCTGCAGATCGAATGTGCACAGAAAGATGGTAAGGTAGTATTCCAAGATGGTCCGATTGTTGATGCAGATGTCATTATTCATTGTACTGGGTATTCTACTTTAAACCTTTTGTTCTTCTAGATTTAAATAAGCATGTCAATCATTTGAGTTTATTGCAGGTACAAATACCATTACCCATTTCTCAAGTCAAGTGGGATAGTTACTGTGGACGACAATCGTGTTGGACCTATGTATAAACATGTATTTCCACCAAGCTTAGCTCCTTGGCTCTCTTTTGTGGGACTAAATAACAGGGTAAACTTTTTTTTTCCTTCCATTTGATTCGAATATTTCGATGAACTAGAAATTGCAGATTCAAGTTCAAATGCTGGTTTATTTATAGTCGTGAAGTTTTGACGTTGGAAATAAATGTTTGCACATTAATGCAGGCTAGTGTTTAGGGTGATGGAATTAAAAGCGAGATGGGTGGCAAAAATTTTGTCAAAAAAGTTTAAAATTACCATATATTTTAAATTTTTTCTATGTATTTCCTATTGAAAATTTATTTTGCCCTTTAGAATTTTAGTTCACCCCTTAAGTTTAAGTTTGCCCCTCTAACATAAAATCATGTATCCGTCCCTCTTTAGAATTTTAGTTCACCCCTTAAGTTTAAGTTTGCCCCTCTAACATAAAATCATGTATCCGTCCCTGGGTAGAGCTGGCGTCTGAAGAAGCGATGGCAGCTTCTGTTGAAGAACATTACAGTGTGATGGAGAAGGCCGGAGTGCCAAAGCGTCGTACTCATAGCCTTATGATGGAGGAGGTTGCATATGTAAGTTGGGTTGCTGCTCGGTTGAACATAAACCCCCTGAAAATGTGGAAAGAAATAACGGTGTCGTAGAAGGGATTTTACAGTATGGTGAAAATTATAGGGACATATGGGACATTGACAAATGGATACAGGAAATAGATTCTTCCGAATACCATAAATAATGTTGTTGCATGTCAATGTATATCTACACGTTTGACCCTTTATATGCAAAGTTCTGTTCTGTATTCCTAAATTGACCCTGTATCATTTGGTAGGAAGACATTATTTCTGGTCTTCTCAACCAGAATAAGCTACATTTCGAGGAGATATGCTTTTTTCTATCTTACAGGATCACATTTAACCGGAAGTATTAGTGTCAAGTAATCACCGGTGTAGTTCAAAGGATTTGAACGGTTATCAAATGTCCATGATATTCCTTTTTCTGTATTTTTTGCACATAACTTAAACGCTTGAAATAAAAAAAAAACTTTGAAATGCATGTTGTAAACGAGCCGAGTCGAGTTCGAATATTGCTGGGTTCGACTCAACTCAAAAAGTTCAAAACTAAGTTCGACTCGAAAACTTACGAGTGTTTTGAGTTGGGTATGAGTCCATTTAATTTGAGTGTTGACTGAACTTTGATTGAATCGAACTCGAATTACTTACGAGCAGTCTCGTCTCATCTACCGCTCTACAAATTTCTCCGTTCCACTTTTTCTCTCTACTTATTGGCTTCGTTGTTGTGTGGTACGCAGTTTGAATATAAAACTTGGCTTGCTGCTCGGTCAGGCATAAGTCTCCCGAAACTGTTGAAGGAAATAACATTATGGAGCCTGTTCAAAGCAAGATCAAATCACGGTTCCCATTTTCGGGATACATGATGTTGATAAATGGATACAACAAATGGAATCCTTCACACACACCATAAATCAAGCTTATGAATCCCATTAATGCTTGCGTACTAAATATAAGACATGATCCTTAAATTCAGCTGAATATTTTTTTTGTTACAAAATTCAGCTGAATATTGCATCATATGGTCGATCTTGTCTTCTTGTTATTTGAAGTTTTTATCATTGGATGTTAATTAGGGCTGTAAAATCAGGTAATCGGTCAGGTTTCAATCGGATCTTGACATGTCGGGTAAAATTGAATACATGTCAATTCAGGTTGATTTGACACCAAATCTAGATCGGATTCAGATTAAATCAAATCAGTTCAAGTTATTTTCAAATAGAGTGATGTTATAAAAATCACATCATCAATAGAAGAAATATATTAGAGGAAATCTCTTCGTTGATTGCTGATAATAACCAAATCGGTTTTAGTACTGTATCAAAAATCATTCACTGATATATATTGTTCAATGTATAATGACAATTAATAAACTGCCTACTATGGTGGGTGACAACCTAATACCAATAAATCTTGCCGGTGGTCTCCATCACTTTTATATTTTAGTTTATCTTTTATCACTTTTTTGTATTCTTTTATTTTAATAGAATAATAAAGACAAGATACAATATATTTTAATATAATAAATAGAGTAAAGATAAGATAAGATAATTATTTTATATTAATATACTTATATTCTTATTTCAACTTTAAAAATAAATCATCACGAATCAACTTACCTCAGTAGTTAAAATAAATCATTGTTGTTCTTAGAGATCATGGATTAGAGCATCAACAGTTGTAACTGGGTGAATTGAGTATTCATTATCAAATAATTAAGAATATTTATAACAAATACTACTTTGTAATCACCTTAATTTAAATAAAATAAAAGATATCACTATTTTAAAATTAATTATTATATTCACATACTATAAATTAACTAGTTTATTTTAAAAATTAAAATACATCAGTAATGTTATTTTATACATTAAAATTTTCATACTTAAACGTTCAATTATTAGTTTATTATAATATAATTCTAATTCGTTGTTGAAGTGTTTTGAAAATTAAGGTTTCGAAAACAAGTAATAGTGAAGGAGCATAGTGTGAGGAATAAATTAAATGATTTAGAAGTGAGTGAATCAATAGATAATAAATATGAATATATTTCAGAATTAATTTATATTTTTTTATAACAAAAGGTGTAATAACCATTTTTCGTAAAACAAATAAATATTATTTTAAAAAACGATTATCACTTTAATTTGGAAAATTTGGTGATTTGGAATTAATTTGATTTAAATTGAAAGGGAGTCACCATCGACCTTTGGGTTAGGTAGGTCAAATACCCAAAAACGTCTTTTAAAAATAATTTTAATAAAAATCATTTTTTAAGACAAAAATGGTATGCGTTTACAAAGATTACTTTAAAATGTGTTCGGGAGTCGATTACACGTGGGGAATGATTAACACCCCACATCGCTCAAAACTGGTACTGTGTCGCTTACACGTTGTCGTATTTATTGAAAATTATAAATCGAATATAAAGTTAAATTACTATCCATTTATCGAACATTAATTTGCTTCGAATATACTATTTAAAGAGAATCCTTTAATTCAAAAAAAACCTTGAAATTAGCAATCCTCCGTCGGGAAAGTTATTTCAACTATTTTTCATTGTTAAAGAATATTCTATCGTCAAATATGTAAAAGATGCATATCAAATATAAATGGCAAATTGACAGTTGCGGAAAAAATAAAATACATAACTTGCATTGTTCAGTGTACAATAAAAACGACTTAACAATTAACAAACTAAATTTGATTTATTTCAAGTTCCATTTAGTTCAAACGTCGTATTAGATTGTACAATTTCGATCAAGTAATACTTTCTACGCCCGTTCTACAAATACGTTCTTGAAAATTTTGAATAACATATACTAGATAAAGAAACATAATGGAAATAAATACAAATATAAATATGCGTAATAAATATTTACATCAAACAAAATTAAGTATATTTAATTACACATGGTACAAATAAATACAAAACATAGTACATACATAGAGGATTGAAATGAAAACAAATAAATATTAAAGACCAAAATACAAATAAACCAAAAAGTAAATATTTGAAATTATAAGAAAACCAAAATATCAAACCCATAAGCTCAAAGGACCAAAATAGTACAAATAGGAATTTAAAGGACTAATATGACCCAAACATAAACTTAAATGGCTAAAACAGTAAAAATAGAAACTTAAGGGTCTAAAATAAATAAAATAGAAATTTAAAGGGCTCAAAGCAATTAAACCAAATATCAAACAGTGACTAAAATATAACATTTGCAAATTTCATGACCAAATCCGAATATCAAAGAAAAATGCACAATAAACTGAAACAATGACTAAAATGAAATAAATATAAATATCATGACCAAATTATAATATCAGTAAACATAATATGCAAATTAATGACTGAAATGAAATCATTAAAAATTAAAAGGCTCGAAATAAAATGATCTGGAATTTTATTCAGTAATCAAAATGAAAGAATGATGAAATTTAAAACTCAAAACTTGAAATCGAAACTTGCATTAGTGACTAAAATGGAACCTTTACAAACATGGTGTCCAGATTCAAATATCACAAACAATACACAGTATATGAAATCAGGGACTAAAATGAAATATGCATAAATATCACAACCAAATTAGAAAATTCACGCAAATGGTAAAATACAAAGAAGTAAGGACTAAAATATAAAAAGGAAAATATAAATGCCCAAAATAAAATATTATGAAATTTCATTAATGGCTACAACGAGATGTTACAAACCAGGAGAGACCTAACGTGTAGTTAACCCACACTCCAAAAACACGCAGAAGGTCCCCCAGAACGACGTCGTTATGCATTTAGTATATATATTTAATTTAAAGGCCAAAATGGCCATCATCTTTCATTTGTTCTCTTCAAAACGAGAGAGGAGAGAGAGAGAATCAGAATTCTCTCAACTCTCTCCTCTGAAAAGAGTTTGACACGGTGGTCGGAGGCTCCCACGACGGCCGATACGGCGGCGCACGGTGGCCGGAGGTACCCAACCTCCCTCAAAATGTTCCTCCTTTTACCCTTAACCTAGCTTAGCCTAAAAACACCTCTAGGACTGTAGATCCAAGTCGTTACCTTTAAAAAAAACCGAGCTCTGATGACTCGTGGGCTTACCGACGCTCCTACAACGAAGGTAAAGGCTTCTCCCCTTATTTCTCTCTTTGTTGTCTATTTTTGTTTCTTTTTTTTTTCTCCTTTCCAGCTTCTTCTCAATTGTCTCACTCTTCCTCTTTTTTATCTTGCTTCCATGATTGGTTGATGGTTGTTTGATAGATTTGTTTGCTGCCCGAGGAAATAGGGCTTGAGTGCCCTAAATTTGTGGACATAATTTTCCTCGGGATCTTTTGTCCTTATTTCCTTTTTTTTCTCTGACTTGAATTGATTTGGTGACTGATGAATGCATTTGTCACTGTTGGTGATGGACGCGGCTTGAAATGGCACGACAATGGCTCGGGAAACACATGACGGTGGCTCCCGGGCTCGGGAGGCTAAAGAGTTGGCGGCGGCTGACGAAGAAGCGACGGCTGGGAGCTGGAAGGCCAAATGGCTGAGCTTCGGTTTAGGGTTTCAAAACCCTAAAATTAATGGGTCTTGAGTATATTGTCTACTGGGTTGGGTCTGCCAATTATATTGGGCTTGCTTGGGTTGTTGTAATTTGGGCTTGCATGTAATATAATGTTGGGCTACAAGTGGCCTGCAAAAGTTGTAATTTAATATTAATAATAAGTACACATAAACATAATAACAATAATAATAATAATAATAATAATATATTAAAATTAAATAATAATAAAAAAGACCCGGACTATAAAAGGTGTGTTTCGTGTCTTTGCCAATTGAAATCTCGCAGCCGCTATTCGCTGATGAGTTAAGCGCTCGATGGTTGTAGTGGTGAAAATGGGAGAATCTTATAAGGTAGCGGTCATCGGCGGTGGCATTGCTGGTCTACTCACGGCCAGGGAGCTTAAAAGAGAAGGTCACCATGTGACAGTATTTGAAAAGGCCAACAAAGTTGGTGGCACTTGGCTCTATGATCCACGAGTGGAGACCGATCCGTTGGGTCTTGATCGGAATCGGGAAATAGTTCATAGTAGCCTTTACAGGTCCCTTAGAGTTAACCTCCCTAGGCAGGTCATGGGATTCTTGGACTATCCATTTACGAAGAAAGAAGGTGGTGATCCGAGACATTTTCCGGGTCATGAAGAGGTGCTCAGGTTTCTCGAGGATTTTGCTAGGGACTTTGGGTTGCTGGAGCTGATTCGATTTGAACATGATGTGGTTCGGGTGGAGCGAGTTGATGAGACTAGTCACGAGTGGGTTGTTGAGTCTAGGACTCGAGATGGTGAGTCAAAATGGGAATTGAATGAAGAGGTGTTTGAGGCTGTGGTTATTTGCAATGGTAAATCGGAGCCAAAAATTGCAGAATTTTCAGGTATCTCTTTTTACTTGTAATTGACCTTTCTCTTTCTAGTATCTATTTAAAATCCTTTTTTGTCATGTTTTAGGCAGAGACATTTGGCCAGGACTCCAAATGCATAGCCATAACTATCGCACTCCTGATCAGTTTGAAAACAAGGTATTGAACTGTGCAAAAATAGTACTTGTAATTTTAAAGTTTCATCATCATAAATCCTTACATCTCAACCCAGAGAGCACACAAATTTCTTTAATGAATATGGGTTCTTCGGTTGACAGATAGTGGTGCTCATCGGAAACGGACCAAGCGCCACCGACATTCTAAGCGAGATCGCCCCACTTGCAAAACAAGTTCACCAGGCTGTTAGAGGACCTAATTTCCAGTTTAAAAAGCTAGAAAAACATGATAACGCTTGGCAACATTCAATGGTTTCTAAACAACTTATAGTCTAATCAAATCACGTTTAAAATTAAACATTAATCTCGTCATCTGTTTTCCCTAATAGATTTCGACTTTATACAGATTGAATGCGCACATGAAGATGGTAAAGTTGTATTCCAAGATGGATCAAGTGTTGATGCAGATGTAATTCTTCACTGCACTGGGTATTTCCTGAAACATTCAAACTCTTTTACTTTATCGAAGAAATTCTTTAATTTTTTAAAGATACTTGGTCCTTTTTCTATTGCAGGTACAAATACTATTTCCCATTTCTTAAGTCGAATGGGATAGTTAATGTAGAGGATAATCGTGTTGGACCTCTATATAAGCATGTATTTCCACCAGGCTTAGCCCCTTGGCTTTCTTTTGTAGGATTAAATTACAAGGTAAACTTTTGTCTTGAAATATTTAGGAAGAACTGAACTCGTCACAGATTTTCAATTTGTCCTGTGTATTCAAAACTTCTGGTTTTAGGCATTTATCTTACAAATGAACTTTTTTAAAATCAGGCAGTGCCGGCTGTAGTGATAGAGTTACAAGCGAAATGGGTGGCAAAAGTTATATCAGGCAAGCTCCAGCTGCCGACACAAGAAGCAATGACATGTTCTGTTGAAGAATTTTACCGTGAGATGGAGAAGAAGGGATGGCCAAGGCATCATACTCATAATCTTATGTTTAACGAGGTTTGTCACTTAAACAACCGAATCTATCTATCTATAATCTATTCATCTATCAATCTGCTTATTGTTTTGTTATGGTATCGTTATTTGGTTGCAGTTTGAATATATAGAACGGCTCGCTGCTCAGTTGAACATAAGACCTCTGAATTGGTGGAGAAACATAACATATCAATCCGTGCTGAAAATGATATCGTATTACGGTAACAGATATCGGGATGCATGGGATATTGACAAATGGATGCACGAGATGGATTCCCCCACTTCTCACATATAATGCTCTCGATCGAATATAGATATATAATATCTGTAAGGAAGGACAAAGTCAGGATCAAATATTACGAGGGACAAGATATTTGATTTCAAAATAACGACTTATTATGTATTTAATCTAAAACTTTATGAGGGTAAAAATTGAGAACATTATATTATAATTCTTTAGTTCAGCACTGTTTGATTAAATATCTAATAATTTTTATGTTTTTCATTTAAATACTTATTTTTAAATGAATTAAAATATTATTAGATAAAAGTCTATTGAACATTAAAAAAAATTACAGGGCCGAGGCCCTTTAGGCCCTACAGAGCTCCACCCCTGGATAGAATGTCAATGATTACTTGAATAGTGTTTGTTGTTTTTAAGATGTTAGAACGAGGTTCTATAATATGATAATATTCCTATTAATGTTATAAATCAGTTAAAGCTTCAAAGAAGGGATTTTAAGGCCATTTAGAGTCGCTTTTTGAGTTCATTTTTAGGTATATTATTGTAATATCTCGAACAGAAAATCACAATTATTTGGATGGAGACGTCGATCTTAGGGGAAAAAAGGCACCCCGATTATTGCTTTCATAAAAAAAAATTAGATTTAAGAGTTATTGTTGTTTATGTAGTAAATCTAATTTATCATTTTCGTTATTATCGTTTTTTTTTTTCCATCAATTTAACCTTCGAAGTTGTATATGATGTTCATCCTAACTCTTGAAGTCAGATGACTTTTTTTTACTAACAAAACTGAGTCTTTTGCATCTGTTGATTAAGGGATTATGTTAAATTATTTATTAAACACGTTGATTAGAATAAATTCATAAAATTTTATTATTTATTTCAGTTAGACTAAGGGATTTGGTCAGTTTTTGGAATTTTTCTAATTATTTATTTAGTAAATATTTTATTATTTTTTTTTAATTTAAGTGTCAAGTTAACATCAAGCCACATCAGTAATAAACCAATTTGACATGTTTGTTTTAGGGAGAGACACTGGCCAGGACTCCCCAACAGTTTGAAAACAAGGTAATAAACCATGTTGGTCAGGACTATGCAAACAGAGTACTTACATTTTAAAGTTTCATCATCACAAATCCTTACATCTCAACCCGGAGAGCACATAAATTGCCGCAATGGTTTTGGATTCTGGCTGACAGATAGTGGTGTTCATCGGAAACGGACCAAGTGCCATCGACATTCTACGAGAGATCGCGCCGCTTGCCAAACAAGTTCATCAGGCTGTTGGAGGACCTAATTTCCAATTGAAAAGGCTGGAAAATTATGCTAATGCTTTGCAGCAGTCAATGGTCTCTAAATCATTATTCTATCATCTAATTAAGCAGGTTCAAAATTAAACTCTGAATCCCTTTTTCCCCTAATAGATTGTTGACTTTCTGCAGATTGAATGCGCACATAAAGATGGTGAAGTGACATTCCAGGATGGATCAATTGTTGATGTAGATGCCATAATTCATTGCACCGGGTATTTTCTAATATATCGCAACTCTTTTATTTTACAGGAGAAATAATTTGATCTCGTAAAAGGACTACTCCGAGGGGAAAAATCTGTTGCAGGTACAAATACAGCTTCCCATTTCTTAGGTCAAATGGGATAATAACTGTGGATGACAATCGTGTTGAACCATTGTATAAACATGTATTTCCGCCAAGCTTAGCCCCTTGGCTTTCTTTTGTTGGACTGAATACCAGGGTAAACTTTTTTTAAAAACTTCATTCATCTTCTGGCTTTTACCTAGCCGAAATATTTTAGATTGATTAAACACCGTTGGAAGTTTGTACATGGTAAATTGATCAGGCGGTGCCGGCTGTGCTGATCGAATTAAAAGCGAAATGGATAGCGAGAGTTTTGTCAGGCAAGCTAGAGCTGCCGACCCAAGAAGCAATGGCATATTCTGTTGAAGAATTTACCGTGAGATGGAGAACAATGGATGGCCCAAGCATCATACTCATAAGGTTGTCACTAATTAAACCAGATCTCTGTCTGATTGCCTGTCTCATTGTTGTCATTTGGTGCAGTCTGGTTATATAGAATGGCTTGCTGCTCAGTTGGACATAAGGCCTTTGAATTGGTGGAAGAATATAAAGTTTAAGTCCGTTGTGAAAATGATCGAGTATTACGGTGGCGACTGTTATCGAGATGTATGGGATATAGACAAATGGATTCTCCTACTTGTACACAATAAATCAAATAATTTAGGGTTGAAATCCAGATGATGTTAATTGCACCAAACCAAATCGATTTTTCTATATTCATCTCGATAATTCTTCATTAATCTGAGACCCCCCAAACGTTATTATTTCAGTATTCTTTTTTATAAAAGTTCTACTCATTTTTACTTTGACATTTATATAATTACATCCGTTAGAATCAAATAGTATAACTTGGGACTCTTACATACCAAACATATACAATTACTATACATAACTCCACCCAAATAGTCGGTTTGAAGAGTGGTGATAATCAAAACTTGGAGCTATTGTTAAGTCCTTTAAATGATTTCGAGTGAGCTTCATGAAAAATCAATCTTATAAGAAAATATAATCAGTTACTGGCGATGATTGACCGTCGAAGACAGCCGAAGAAATACGGCCAAAAATAGATCTATTTAAAAATTTTGTGATAAAATCGATACACTCTAAAGTTCAGTGCCTGAAATGATGTCGTTTTAAGCATTAATAATCGTATCAAAACGATTTTGTTTTCTCCATGTAATCAAACCATTTAAATTTTTAACAGCCTAGTGACATAATTGAAACGAAAATTAAAATTCAATATTATCATTGATAAAACTAAAGTTCAATGGTATAAATGATACAACATCTAAAATTTAGGGGTATTTGGTATAGTTTACCCTATTATAATTTTAAAATGTTTAAACCTCAATTTTATAAAAGATAAAGTATATAAATGATCCCCGACTATATATTTTTGTTTTGTTGAGTCATCGACTATTAAAAATTACAAAATGATTTCTAATTATATAATGTTGTTTTGTTGAGTTTCTGACTATTAGAAGTTAAAAATTGTCATCCAATTATTCATATGTTCTAAATTGTCATTTCCCCTTTAAAACTTGATGGTAGTTTGAGCTGAATGTTAATCTGTGACTGAGATATTATAAAATATGATTTCAGAATCTCTAATGACTATCTTATTACAGTCAGCATGTTAACATATAACTGATCATAAATTTTTTAATAGAAAATGACGAGTTTAAATCACATAATAAATAATTATTTTATAACTTTTAATAATCAAAATATTAATAAAATAATGTTCTATAATTAAAAAAAATATTTTTTTAATTTTTAATAACAGAAAATTTAATAAAGAAGTAATATGTGAATGTGACCGGGAATCACTTTGTACATTACCATCTACTCCTATAAAAATTGAGAAAAAAGTTGAACAATATTAAGATTGTGAAGTACAAACAATTAATAAAGTTGAAAAAGTTGTACAGAGTGGATGATGATGAAAAAGTGGGTGGAGGAAAATTAATACCGAATAAGCTAGCTTTGTCACATGAAAACGCTTCACCTGCAGGTCCTGGGTTGAAATTTTCAATTATCTATAGAAAAGGGGATATTTTGTGATCCCTCGCTATGGCGCTCAAAATGGGAGAGTCTTATAAGGTAGCGGTCATCGGTGCCGGCACTGCAGGGCTACTTGCGGCCAGGGAGCTTCAAAGAGAAGGTCACCGTGTTGTTGTATTTGAAAAGGCCGACAAAGTTGGCGGTACATGGCTCTATAATACGCAGGTGGAGTCCGAACTGTTGGGCGTTGATCCGAATCGGAAAATTGTTCACAGCAGCCTTTACAGATCCCTTCGAGCTAACCTTCCTAGGCAGGCTATGAGCTTCTTGGACTACCCATTTGTGAAAAGAGATGGGGACCCGAGACCGTTTCCGGGTCACGAGGAGGTGCTCAGATTTCTTGAGGATTTCGCCAGGGACTTTGGGTTGATGGAGTTGATTCGATTTGGGCATGCAGTGATTCGGTGGAGCTAGTTGATGAGGTGAATCACGATTGGATTGTGGAGTCGAGGACTCGGGATACTGAGTCAACGTGGGAATCCAAAGAGGAATATTTTAAGGCTGTGGTTATCTGCAGTGGCAACAACACGGAGCCAAAAGTTGCAGAATTTCCAGGTATCTTTTGATAGGTTTCATCACTATCTAGAGGGTCAATTTTAAGTATCTTATAAAGGACATTTTTCGATGAACCGTATTCAAGGAATTAAAAGAAGGTGAATCAGAACATGATGTGGTTGTAATGGTTAAAAGAAATTTATTCTCGCATCAGGATCCAGTTTCGAGCAACTTAGAAAAAGAAGAAGAAATTTAGGATTCAACTCGCATCGGTGACAGTGATCAACGAAGTTCAGAGAACTTTTAGATTTTTTTAAATAAATAAATTTTAGAATTACATTAATATTTTATTTAAAATTTAGTATTCAAATTCAAAATTAATCCTTTCTATTAATTTATTATGTCATCAAATAATGGAAGTTAAAGACTACAGAACTAAATTATCTTAATAATGTCATCAAAATATAACCATTATTTTATTTTTAATGATCAAAATAAGACAGATTAATAATAAAAGTATTCTTTGGGAGTAATTTACCCTACTGTAATCTTTATTTCTAATATATAATTTTTGTCATACTTTAGGCAGGGATACTTGGCCAGGACTGCAAATCCATAGCCATAACTATCGCACTCCTGAACAATTCCAAAACAAGGTATTGAACTATATCCATGTCAGTCTTCTACCTGGATCTGCAACCATGTTAATAGGTTTTTGAAGTTTCAGTATCATCAATCATGCATCTCAGCACCATTGCTACAATGATTTGGTGACAGGTTGTGGTGATCATCGGAAACGGACCTAGTGCCTTTGACATTTTGAGAGAGATTTCCCCTCTTGCAAAACAAGTTCATCAGTCCATCAGATCTCCTGGTTTTCAGTTCATCAGGCCGGAAAGTCGTGATAATCATTGGCAGCATTCAATGGTTTCTTACTCATTCTATGAGTTAAGATGGCTTAAAACTGGTCATCTTTTTCTTGATGGTCTGTTTTTTTATGCAGATTGAATGTGCACATAAAG